CCTCCCAGAGGTCCTCTGGTTTTTGCTCATTCGTGTTCAAGGCTTCAAACCTGTTCCTGAGGAGGTTTTAAAATTCAGGTGGGATAGACTCAAGGTTAAACTTTTGTTCCTGGGGAACTTTCATATGAGCAGTTGATTGTCTGTTCCACAATCAGAATCTGGGCTAATCTTTATTGCTACAATTGAGCTTACCCAGTGATTCTTTCCATATATGTAATCAATCTGACTCCTGTGCAGATCATCAGGTAAAATCCATATGTATATTTTTTGTTTTATGTTTCTTTAAAAAGTTATTTGCAATGAATAAATAATTGATTGTATAAAATTCTATCATTCTATCCCCAGCCTCACTTCTGTCACCAAATCCAGGTTTCCTGACAACTTATCCTTCTTCCCTGTTTCCAACTGTTGCATTAAGAACACATGAATCAGCTCATCCATCCAAAATCAACAGATCCTTAACAAGGGGACAAAATCAGTTAAGTGGAGATTTGACAGTGTCTTTAACAAAATGATGTTGACAAAACTGGAAAATCATCTGAGTAAACTTAAGCTAAATCCACACCTCACACCATACACAAAGACCAACTAAAGGTGGATCAAGGACCTAGAAGTAAAGCCACAGACTATAAAATTCACCAGAGAAAACCTAGGAAGAGCTCTGGAAGTGCTAATCCACAACATGAACAGTTTTCCAAGTATAAAAAAGAAACCCTACAACCAGGATAGAATGAAATAGAAGAATCAGAGAATCTAAGAATCAAATCCCTATGCACGTTCCAATGCAGTACCTATTTTCCATAAATGGTTTTGGTAAGAGGAATATTGTAAATGTGTCTTACCAAAACCATTTATGGAAAATAGGTACTGCATTGGAACATGTATCTCTGGATTGGAAATGATGATATTGTTAATACTTGTAGCCTTAAGCGTAAAAGATTATAATGTTCAAAATTATTTGTTATACATTTGCTTAAATTTTTCCCTCTTTTAACAACTGGGATCTAGAGGGAAAAGACCAGAGAATGGCCAAAATTATTGGGGCAGCTATTGCTGCCAGTTTAGGGCCTGTGTCAGGAAAAGGAAGTCTTACTCATATACAGTGCCAC